GGGGGGGAGAGTAAAAACTTCTACTCAGTCCTGCTTTGATTCAATCCTGGTCAGCCATGCTGGCCATAAATTAGGCTCTGCTTTGCATATGCACAGCCTCTACCAGGTTACACAGACACGTAGGGAGAAAGGGGATGGACAACTCCATTTCAGAAAATCTGTGCTTCACCTTCAGCAGCTGCAGTGATTCCTCAGATTAACTGCAAGGAAGAAGTCAAGGGAAAAAACTATGCTGACATTAGCAGACTGGATTCTAGCTTTGCACAGGCACAAAACCTACTACAATAAAAGTGTCATTTGTACATGGGCACTCTTCAGCCTAACTTTTTTGTCAACTCTGCTTTTCAGTGAAGCCAGCTCACTGGTGAGCATCTATGGATACATCTCTGTCTGCCTCAACAGGGCCACAGCTTGGGGAGAGATCACGAGGACCAGCGAGAGCCAAACCACCACGTCCAACCGTGAGGCTGTTATCAGGGGTCTGATCACTTGAGCCACTTCATCTGTTTTTTCTGGCCAACAGATTAAATTAACCTTAGTTCACTACAGCCTTAAAATATTACCAGAAACTATCGCTGACACATCTGTCCTTCTCTGGAGGTCTTGTTTCCTATCTTAACTGTTCCCCATAAATACCAAAACAGGATTCCTGCCTTTGCTTCCAGAGTCATCCTGCCTTGCCCAAGGTCAGAGGACCAGACAACCCATATGTTCTCAAGACGCCCTCCCAAAGGGGCAGCTGGGCAGCATGCACCCAAAAGCACTTCACACCCGAACAGTATGAAAGCACAGAAATCGCTCCATGGTCTGTACCCAAGAGTGTTTGCACCACAACATCCACACTGCCCACTTCAAACTCACAGATGGATAATATTTTGATGGAAGACTCCCTTCACAGAATAAATCATTCAGAAACCAAAATCAAAATATTATCAAGTGGCACAAACATGAAACCACTGCACAATAGGTAATTTTTAATTTGAACAAGTCAAAGTACATTCAAATTCTACTTGTTAGTGAGCTCTAATGCTGTGTACCACTTGCATGCAGGAGACCTCAAATCCACCACAGAATAAAAATCACATGGGAATTTAATGATGCCTAGGTTTGGGACTGGCAGAGGAATGACATTTGCTCCTAGCAGGGTTACTACTTCTCCTCCTAATACATTTCTACTACAGCACTCTTGCAAGCAATGTTGTTCTGATATATTGGTGTGGGGATGAAGCATGCAATGCAAATGAAAAAAAGTCAATAAATCCTCATTCAGGTCCACTTCAGGCTAAAACACATAAGAGCAAGTGGCCACAACACGCAAAACAATCCCACTTCAGCCTCCTGCATGTCATCTCATACCAGCAAATATTTCAAAGTCAAATACTCCCTGAAAGTCAAAACCTCAAAAGAACTTTTTAGCGTTTCCAATTATCAAGTAGACACACAGTTCAGCAGCAGGAGGAAAACTTCAAGCAGGCAGTGCTACTTAGCACCAGACCTTCACTGAACAACCCAAACAAAAACATTATATTCAACACAGTGGCAACAGCAATGAGGTTCACAGGGATGTTGCGGGATCACCTTTGCTGCTCTTATTAAATGCTGGGATTATGCTATTTGAATCCCAAGTCCTAAGAGACAAAGTGATTTAGCTCTCTTATTTTACTGTCAGAAGTCAGCAGGAGACTGCAGGAGCTAAACGCACAGGCTAAGCAAACGGAGATTCAGGGCGACACTGGATCTAAACAGACAGTGAAGGTGACGACAGAAGTGACAGACAAGTATTACACAATTAATCATAGCAGTATTTCCCACTCTCAGAAGACAGCGAAGCAAGAAGCCATGACCCGAAGCTGAGGACGTGAGAGCAGCAGCACCAGAACACCTGCCAGGAGGGCACCATGGGATGCTGGTGGAGTTCCTGAGCCAGGCTCTGCTCGCTCTCCTCTCCTGAGGCACCGCAGCTATGTCTGAGAACAGCAAGCAGGACTTGGCTTTTGACATAATGATTTTTTTTTTCTTCCTACATACGTCTTGTTTTCTTTTCAAATGATATTGTTGCAAAGGATGCTAAACTACTAAAAAACAGAGATGTGCAAGTAATGTTGATAGTCTGCCTCGTACCCACCAAAGCAAGGCTATTTGCAGTTAAGATCCTGGCTCCATCATTTTAAGATTTAAAACAGATTTTAAATCAAGATGACGTCGTTACATTGCTTTCACCACATGTTAATGAATTTCACATTTTTCTAGGAAAAAAAACAAAACAGGTGGGATCTGAAGTGGGGGGAAGGGCAGGTGGCTTTGCTTTCTTGGAAACTTCAAACAGAAAAGGCAATCTGTTTTCTAAAACATGTTTTAATTCTCTCTTTTAATTGTCTCTCAAGCACTCACACCACAGAGGCCCCAGCCTGTAGTCGCAGTGCTGGGTGGACTCCGGAGCACCCATGGAGTGATCCTGCACTGTGGTCAGCTCCGAACATCCCACAAATCCCCCTGCATACATTTGTCACAGTTCTCCTGTCCAAGATCAGCTAATTAAGTGTCTCGTCCTTTTGCAAGAAGGGCACGCTGCAGCCCAGAGGGATGATGTCTCCTCCTCCCCCAGCAGAGGGCCTGGCTGGCATTACCCACACCCTTGTCCGAGCCCAGTGGTAGCCTGATGCAGGGATCAGCAGGGGTCACTGACCCCTGAAATAAAGTCAGCCCAAGCATGTATCACTCCATCACTTCTCCAGTAAAAGGCCCAGCTCTAACCCAGGGAAAGAAATCCTGGAGGGGGAACGTGCTACAGGTTCTCCTTCCAGCTGACTTGTCCCCTGGTGAAGAAGCCATGGTCCAGAGCAGCAGTGAAACCACCAGGATTTAGCTGCCTGCTTAAAGATAAGCACATGCTTAACCACTCTGTTGAAACAGGATGCTCGGCTGGAGTGTGGCCAAGGTGAATTAGCCCTGCCAGCCTGGGCTGCATCTGGCCTGCAGCGGGGAGTATCAATACTCTAAAATAAAATTTCATGCAGTGTTGATTTCATGAGATAAAACCCATTTGATCATTGCTGAAATCCATTCTCACAGTATCCCTGCCCTAAAGAGTATGCTCCCTCAAGCAGCTAACTTTACTGAGATAAGAAAGTCGATTTATATATACCATAAGAGAGACTCTCTTTCATAAATCTCAAAAAAATTAGTAACACATGCCTCTTTCGGTAACTAATCGCCAACACGCGCTCCAGAAGGTCACCTAAAACCAAGTCCATCCACCCCCAAATACATTTCCATAACAATCACAACCACACAAAAACGAATGCAGAAATGTCTTTAAGTCCCAACCCCACATTTAAGGGCTTTCACTTCTGTTCACCAAAGCAAAAGGAAATTTCTTTCCTCATTTTAATTTTTACTATTGATATGTTATTACTGCATATAGAAACATCATATACAAAATCACCTCATTTTTTCTGGCTTTTCAATCTGGTCATCCATGTATCCATGCTGTAGGTAGCAAAACCTACAGACTCTGGAGTTCAGCACAACAGATCCCTGAAATGAATGTTTGCACCTTCTAGCTCCCAACCACCAATGTACCCTGTGGGACACTCTCTAGGGACAGGAAAAAGGTTTCCTGCATTACTTTATCCCCTCCAGCATTATAGTGGGATTTGGGATTGTACTGTGGTCTGTTTTACAAATCTATCTAACTGGTATGGGCAGCTGTCTATGCAGGACAACTTCAGCATCTCAGTATAGTGGGTTTCATATAACTCCATCTCATTCTTTGCCAACAGTTTATAGTCTGCAACATCCCAGTCATTAAAACAGAGCCTCACATTTGGTTTCCTTTTTATTATTCTTCTCTTTTTCTTTTCAATCAGTTCCTCATCCATTTATTATTTATTTATTTATCACCACATCTTTCAGTGATAATATACAGCTACAAAGACATCCTAAAAAGACAGTTGTCAATACAGACATTATGCAAGGGAATAAACAGCATTTCTTTTAAAAACAGCCATCACCTTAAGCAACTGATGCATCAGAAATGCCCCACTCCTGAAAAGAAGCAGCTTTCCCTCCTCTCTGTTGTACTTGCCCAGCCATTCAAGCTAGCTGCATTTAGTCCTACCTCCTTTCCAAATAGCCACAGAAACCAGAAACGACATCTGTCTTCACACAGCCCACACTGGGAGATTTTCAAGTGCTTTTTTGCCAAATGATTCTCAGACAACGAGTGCATTTAATTTTAAATGACTTTACAACGATCCTTCAGCTTAAAGAATGGCTCTCCTATTTGTTAAATCCCAGATGGAGGGCAAAAGAAAGACCATTTTGCTGATGCAGCCTAAGGTTTCACCATTAAGTAATCCAAGAAACGTTCAAGAATAGCAAAAGCCTCTGACAGCAGCACTGCAGTGTTACTCCTGCACGAGTTTGTGCCACATCTCTGAAAACACCAATGCCTTGTTGTCAACAGAAAGCAATCACAGCCCCACCAAGGCCAATGAAACCCTCATGGTGCCAAGCCATGTTTACTGGCTCTCCATCTAACCAACCTCTACGCACACTGAATTTTCTATTTGGAGCTTTCCAGTAAAGGGGGATGTTAATCTGTTACTGCTCGTGTCATAAAGAGTTACAGCATGAGATGTCCAAGGCCCACAGCATGGGCAAGTTAGCTGGGAGCTGGACTTCAGAATTTCCTGATTTTTTGTATTTTATCCTACGGA